TTTCAGGTTCTTCAGGTGATCACAAACTTGATCTTAACTTATGAAAATTATTTATCTATAGAGAAGAAGCCAGAGCAAAACCACACTGCCCAACAAGACCTGTCCCCTGTCCCTTTTCTGAAGAATTTCCTAACTAAAGAGGCTTACAGAACTTAAAAGCACTTGCATTCTGCATTACTCAGTCTACTTAGCCCCAAGTCTTTCCACAATTAATATGAAAAATAAGGAGTGGAGTCTGGACATGTTTCTTAATCTGTTTCTTCATGTTACACTTCAAAATCTACCTTCCTTTTTGCTGACAGCAAGCCAGAGTAGAAGCCAATCAGCAACACAAGCCTCTCTGATCAAGGTTTTCACCTAACTTTGAGTGCTAACTCTGGCATACAGAGGTACTTACCGTGTCAACAGATGAAGAGACCACTGATCCAGAGCTTGTTGAATTCATAGAAACATCCCCTTGAGACTCTATCTGACTTAGAGCATCGTTCAATACAGTTACAGACTCTAGAAAAAGAATTAAAAAAAAAAAATCACTTATGAACAGCCATAAATGAGATATTCCAGTTAAAAAAACATGCCAGCAAATGAGACACAGCCTTGTACCTCCCAAATCATCCTTAAATAAATATCTATCTGCAACTAGCATAGCAGTTAAAACTGCCTTTTACAGGCTTCTCTGTAACAGCTGGCAGGTGATCTCCACACCAGTCCCGTCAGTTCTGCACCCAGCAGTCAGCTGTGACACTCACCTAATTCAAGTGCCTGAAACACAACTGGTGCTACACACCACCTTTCGAGCTAAGAGGAGTGTATCAGTAAATACTTCATTGTATTCTCTGAACCACAATGTTAAGGAGAAGATAATGAGCTGTTGTGGTGAGCAGAGCCCGCCCTAGGCAGGGATCGGCGTGCGGAAGATCTCGCGATGTAACGGAAAGCTCAGACTGCCCACGAGGGGCCTTGTGGGTGTGGCTTGTGCTATATAAGCAATTGCAGCGATGCAATAAACGCCATTTGCAACATCCTTCATATTGAAGCCTGTGTCTGTGATGGTACCCAACGGCAGAGGTTGGGTGGCAGCGATCCCGGGGATCAGGTGTCGGTAACGACAATGAGCACTACATTTCAACAGTCTCAGAAACAAACACCTGAAAATTGGCAGTGCTTCCATATTGCAGACTCTTTGCAATAGAATTAAGTGGTCTCAACTGCTCTTTTCCAAGTCACAACAATAAATAAAGAAACAGATAAGTGATTTGAACAATGCAAATATTACAAGCAAGATGAGGCATGGCTGAGATACAGAACTCAGCTATGGTAAAGACATGCCATCCAGAATTGCTTGCTCCTTGAAGCTGAATATGGCTAAAATCATTATTAAACACTTGTGCGTTAGAAAGAATCAATCAAAAAGTGTTAAGAAACACATACAGAAACAAAGTGTTTAAATCAGAGGAGCACAAAATCATTCCTTAACTACTATTACCTTGGCACTGCTCTCCTCCACTTCAAAACCCCTATAAGCTGTCCTGACTTGCACTGTTGCTCAGACTAACACCGTGTTGTTCTATTGCACAGCACTCCCCTAATACCCCGCAAGTTATCTGCAATACCCTCTTGCAGAATCTTGAGTTCCTAAACTATTTATTGCTTCTCTGTCACACTGCTGGAATCATCACTGTTTATTTGTGGCCTGAATCTCATGAAGCAAAAGGAATATCTACAAAACAACATATGTTGTCACTTCTTGTGCCAAAGACAAGCCTTAACTTTGGGTACAAGTGCTGTCATAACATGAGGTTATGCCATTTATGTAATGTGAGAATATGCCAAACAAGAGATCTGTAATTTATAAGAACTCTTTAAAAAGTAATCCCTTTAATCCTTTTTTTCATTCATGAACTGAAAGAATGGCAAGCAATACTGAGCTGCTGGGAGAAGCAACAGTCTGTTTCTACCTTTCCTGCATAGACCAAGGAAAAGTTTTCACATTACTTTGAAATCTTCAAGGGAAAATACAGCTCTGACCTCCAAATAAAACTGGCTGTTTCTGCAGCCTTTCACGTCCACAACCCATTTCCATGCAGTAAGATGACTATCATTCTCAGTGGTGAAATCTGAAAATAAGATTTCCAATGTGTATTTTACATGCAGTGACATCATTAAGACCAACACTATAAAGGCAACTTCTAATTTAATAATGGTGCAGAATACTACAAATCTCCTTTTCAAGAAGTCCTTCTTCCAGGTCATATGATATGACTGGACTCTCAAATTGGTGAGCTGACTTGTGTCTGGACAAATACTAAAGAGATCATAGGATCACAGAATGATTTGGGTTGGAAGGGTCCTTTAAAGGTCATCTAGTCCAATCCCCCTGCAGTGAGCTCCAGGAGGGCTCCACTCAGCCTAACCTTGGATGTTTCAAAGAGTGGGGCATCTACTACTTCTCTGTACAACCTGTTCCAGTGTTTCACCACCCTCAGCCTAAAAAATCTTCCTTCTATCTAGTCCCAAACTACCTCCTTTTAGTTTAAAAATATTACCCCTTGTCCTCTCACAACAGGCCCTGATAAAAAGTCTGTCCCCAATTTTCTTACAGGCCCCTTTAAGTACTGAAATGCTGTAATAAGGTCTCCCTGGAGCCTTCTCTTCCCAAGGCTGAACAATACCAACTCTCTCAGCCTGTCCTCAGATGTTTAAGCTCTCGGATGATTTTTGTGTCCTTCTCTGGACCCACTCTAACAAGTCCATGTCTTTCTTGTACACCAGAGCGGGACACAGTACTGGATGCTTGAACTTCAAACTTATTGAGGATGCACTCAATCCCACTGTCTTTGTTATTGATGAAGATATTAAAAATATTGATTTTTTCTGCCCCTCCCACCAATTACTATGCTAGAGGATTTTTCCAATTAAAACCCCAGTGATGACATATTCCTTTCATCTTCCATGGACTGCTAGGGCAGTACACAACTGAAATGTCCTAATGTGTTAGTTATTTCAGTCCTCACTGCTCTTTTGCTGCCTGGCATAAGAAACTGATAATCAGATTTACAGTAATATTCTAGCAGTTGACCAGACAGGAATCTTTCACAAGGCAGGGCTACACCTTCAAATAAAGAGTAGATTAGACTACTGCATTTAGCAGTACAAAGGTCATGATGAAAGACGTTATTAGCTAACAATGCAATGTGAGTGAGACTGATAAAAATGAAAGATGAAATATTACAATATCACTGGTGAGTGAGGTTTGAAGACTGAGAGGGATGGTTTCAACAGTTTTTATTATTTTCTGAGTACTGAAATGCTAAGAAATAGGGAGGAATACCACCGAGTGGTACATGACTTTTCAGTCATGTAAAAATACAAGGGTGACTGAAATTTATGTGTCAGCAGTAGATTTAACTATGACAATTTATACTTTTTAATACATGACTCTACAAGCTGAGTAAGGTTCTTCCAATATTCAAGAAATAGCTGGAAGGGTATGATTTTGGCAGAAACAAAGCCAGTGGAACACCTTTCTATTAGCACAATTATTTTTTATAGCATTTTGGGAGTATTTTTTAAGTTATGCTGTCATTTAAAACCTGAAATTTCCACTACCCCAGCACAGTCTGCTATTATAGAGCAAATGATTATCAGACAGCAGGGAAAGATTAACCTGAAGAGCAAAGGTTGAAAATAGTAATGACAAAACCTATCTCTAAAAATGCTCTGCTCAATTCCAGTTAGGTAACATTGCCTAAGAAGCACATCCCTTAACTATGGAGGAAGCAGCACCAGTGTTTAAAGCCTTTTTAAAAACACAAAGAAAGCTGAAACTGAAGCTGGAAGAGTTTCAGCTTAAGAAGAGTTTCTTCTTAAGCCAGATTTTTCTTTATATACACACAAAGTATGCATACACACATATACACATGCCTTCTATGTGTTTAATATTCATTTGCAACCTGTAAATCCGGTATCTCTATACCAGAGATAAGCTTTTGCAATGTGCCATAAATCAGCCAGTGAGAATGCTCAAGTTGTTTTCTGTACCTAGACAGCTTCCTAGAATCAGGCTAGGACAGAAGAGCAAGTAGTGAGTGCACTGTGGAGGTAAGCAGCTACTGGACCTAGCTTTGCCTGAGAGGGAATACAAGGAGACAGCAGACCAACATGTTGTGCGGCATGCAGCTGTGACCAAAGGCACATGCACCACACATTCAGAAGTTTCTGTATCATGCTTAATTTGGTCCTTCTGCTCATGCACAGGTGCCCAGGATCTCTCTGCATCTCAAAACATGGGTTTGTGTTACCATGACAAATATGTCAGCTCACTAGATCCAGCTGCAAATGGGAGCCGGAGCAATTCTTTTCTAGTACTGCTTATGCCAAGTCACATTATTCTGCAATCACTACTGCCTACGGGTGTACAGGGAGCCTGTTACAGTGACTCACAGATGTACCCTCTAAGTCGCTTCTGTGTCCTAACCTTAAGGCTCTGATTAAGCCCTGCTTATCTTCCTGAAAGATTTCTAGCTTGTTCTGAAGTGGTATCAAGTGTGTCTTCACACTTCAGTTTAATCACTAGTGAGCAAATAACATCATCGTGCAAATTCAGGTAAGTCACTGCTGCCTCAGAGGCACTGACACTCTCACGCTGCATTAAGAAGATGGCTGCCTTCCACTCCTGGCAAAGGGCATGCAGGAGAATACATGTCAGCAAAACTACATCTTCCACTTCAGCTTCCTAATCCCTAAATTCTCATACAGCTTCTAAAAAAAGTCTGTTCTCAGATTTTTTTGTTGTTAAAAAGCCATCATGTAGTGAGTGCACTAGCAATTGTGTATTTTGGCAGTTAGCAGGCCTAGAACAGAACTGTGTGGGAGTAGAGGAACTGCCTGAACTTCTCCAAGTACATTAAGGACTAAGCCTGCAAAGCCTGGGGAATAACTACAGAGAACATTCAAAGAAAGACACCTGAGGTATTAAAAGGAAAGTGGAAATGCAGGCCTAGTCAGTCACGCTGACTGTATCAGACAGCTTTTGGGGTAAGTGAAGGAGCCTGGGCAAAAGACCATACCACACAATCAGCAGCAGCTCATACTGAAAGTTGTAGGGTAACTACCAGGAAAAACTGCTTTATCACTCACATTATCATGATATCTGAGAAAGTTCAGTGAGTTCCTGAATTAACATCAACTGCCAAATAAAATAACAATTAACAATTTCCTATTAATTAAAATTGCTTAAAGCCTATACAAGCATATCCTGGTACAATAGCAGGAGTTATTTAGCTTGACTCAGTTTATGTGCTAAGAGAACATGCCTACAAACTGAAGAAATGCTTAAAAAAAGTCAAAAACATGGAATATAAAAAAAATCACATTTGTACTTAAACTGTCTTTAAGAAAAAGAATTAAATGTTTTCATTTCTCAACAGACTACCACTAAAACAAAGATGAGACACTATTTCCATTTAGTCTTCACAAGGTCAGTATCTCCAGCAGAGAAACCTTGCCTAAATAGACAGCTATGAATGTGCTTTAGTTAAAAATCAAATGAGTGCTTTGCTAGGCAGGGCTCTAGATTTATGATCATTTAGACTTCAGATGTGGAGCATTTAATTTATTTATCTTCAAGAGAATGACCTCCCCCTCTGCTTGCAAGAAAGAGAATTCCAAGTTAAAAAAAGCACAACATGAATCCAGGTATTTGGTTATGTATGATTGCTACACATGTATGAAAAATTACCTTTCAAAAAACCCCAATCAGTCAACAGATGACAGTCCCACTTTTTTGAATGAAAACAAATTAAGTCAAGCTGCTCTGATCAGCATGCTAAAACTATGAAACAAGATTAACACTTCTGACTATGGGATTTTCTACTACATTACAAGCAAATACCATATCTAATTGGGGTGTTTTTATAATTATACATAAAGCATCTACACGACTGCTCTTCACAGCACCACCGAACTACTTAAATCATTGAAATCTGAGAGTTGTAACTTGCAGATATTATTTATTGCACCTTTTCATATTTAACACAAATACTCCAATTAGTTTCCCTTATTTAACAGTTGAATACCTTCAATCAATAAAGTAGAGACTTTGGCACTACAAAAAAAAATTAAATATAGAACTGAGACGTCTACTCAGCTAAGTTCTTCAGGATTTTATTCAATACTTCCGCTAATTCTCACATGTAACAAACTAATGGAAGACTTTTCATTCAGCCTGGCAGAAATCGTGGCTTGATGTCACTGAAAGAACAGTACTATATTTTGGCTAGGTTCATAACAAAGCAGAAGATAAGGTATGGACACTGCAAGGGAGCCTCATGCTAATGCAATATTTACATTTTCCTGACTGTAGAAAGCTGCTTTGTTGTACTGTAAGGACATTTACTTCAGAAGTTGTTGATTTTTTTTCTCCCGATAACATCAAGACACCGACGTGGAGTGTCATATGTAATGCTCGAGAAACTTTCAAAAGAAATTCCCATCTACAACTTTTTTCCTAAAACATTTTTCTGCTAGCAATCCATAAAAAAACAGCACAGTATGTGTGACAGATTGAAGAACAGATCAGAAACTGTCAGGTTGGGATTATGTTCTTAAAAATGTCATTCCATAGCAGGACAGAGAACATTCATAAACCAAATATCACTGAAAACAATCTGAAAGATGAAACCCAACTACTGTACGGTTAATTACATTCCTTTACCAAGATCTGAGGGAAAGGACAAAGTGTGTTTTATATCTGGTTTTGGTTCAGACATCTAAAAACTTACCACTAAGGTTTTAACAAAATCACACACTCACAGAATGGCTTAGGTTGGAAGGGACCCTAGAGATCATCTAATCCAACCTCCCTGACATGGGAAGGAGGGGTGTCCTTGCCCATGCCAAGGATGTCCTTGCCCATGACAAGGATGTCACGCAGGACAGTGTCAAATGCCCTGCACAAGTCCAGGTAGATTGCATCAGTTGCCCTTCCCATACCTATCGCAGTTGTAACTCTGTCGTAGAAGGCCACCAAATTAGTCAGACACGATTTGCCCTTAGTGAAGCTCTGCTGGCTGTCACCAATCACCTTGTTATTTTTTATGTACCTTAGTGCAGATGCCAGGAGGATGTGCTCCATGATTTCACCTGGCACAGAGGTGAGGCTGACTGGTCTGTAGTTCTCTGGGTTTTCTTTACCTCCCTTTCTAAAAATGGGGGTTATGCTTCCCTTTTCCAGTCTGTGGGAACTTTGCCAGTCTGCCACTATTTCTCAAATATGATGGCGAGTGGCCAGAAACTTCACCTGCCAGTACCTTCAGGACCCGTGGATGCATCTCATCAGGTCCCATGGACTTGTGCACCTTCAGGTTCTCTAGGTGTTCCCAGACCTGATCTGCTCCACCTACCATGGGTGGGATGCCGTAATGGATTTCAGAATCATCAGCTTAAACTTCTACAGTGTATCCAAGTATCTTTGAAATTAAAAAAAAAATCTTTAACCTAAATAACAACATGCCTAAGAAAAAAAAAAACAGCCATCAGTGATGTCAATGATTAGCATGTGTAACTCACACTAGCAAACTAAAGGTAACATCTTGCGAAATCTTGGAAAGCAGTCAGGAAAATTAAGTCTGTATGGTTCATTTATGAACAATGACAAACAGATCTAAACAGAGACATAAGACAACAAAGAGAAAGCTTGGAAGATGAAAGAGAAGCAAGTACGGCAGCAGGAGGGATCAGAGTCATTTTGGCTAAAAAAACCCCAAACATATAATGGGAAGGAACAAAGAAACTAAACAAAATATTGGAATAGAGAGTCATCTTGATCACCAGCGAAGGGGGTGATGTTACACAGCAACATAAGGCAGAAAAGAACTTCTTTGCTGTGCTATACCAAATGACTTAACCAGAGAGTTTTTTGATACGGAGAGGAGCCAATACTCCAGGACTGAAAAGAAAATACAGCCTCTCTATTACAAGGCTACTATTGGTATGTAGGTGCAATCAAACAAAACACTACTATTAGTCTGGCTGTAATACCAAAAAGAGAGTCATGTCGCTTCCCTAGAAACAATGAAGAAAGATCAAACTGTCTTAGTTCTACAAGTAAGAACACAAACGTTTCCTTAAAAAGATCTGACTGTAATGCAACGGTAAATGACAAATGTCACACGTTTACACAAGAATTCACTGGTTCTGTAGAATTCTGAAGTAGTGTCAGCAGATGGGTCACAAGCAAGCATTCTCCTCCACGCTTTGCTTGCCCGAGCTACAGGCATTACCAAAGTGTCCTTTACCTTGGATAGTTCTGGGTTTGCTGGCGTTGTCAAAGTCACAGACCTTCTCCCATTTGTCTCGCACCGCCTCCGCTGTCATCGGCTGGGTTCTGCCTCTAGCGATAGCACCCAAGGATCTCTCCCAGCGCACTGGTGGGAAACGTGAGCCAGACAGTTCAGGTAACAAACAAAGCAACTTCTAGTTTCCTCAAATCACTTTCACCTATGCCACTGCTTCCAAGATGGTACAAGAAAAGAAATGCTTTCAGTACTTCAGTGTAACTCTCTACTGTAACTTCAAGCTGGACTAAGAGGGCTTGCGGCTTTTAGAACAGGAAAGCACTAGTTTTAAACTTCATGAAGGTCACAACAGACAGGTTGCTCTCTGAAACTACTACATGGGTTTTAGGATTCTGCCTAGTGGAAAGCTGTAGCTAGTATGTATCTACACACACTGCCTTCTGACACTATTTTGGCTACTAACGCTTAAGAATATTCTGAAAGCCTCATTTATTATTTATGAAGAAATGTTAAAACCTGTTGCCAGCATCTCCAAATGATCCATGAAGTTGCATTTCAATACTGTAACTTCAGAGAAATTGGTAAGGCTAATGTGAAATCAATTCCGGAAGGATACAGACCTCCCAGACTGCAGCTGGTCCTTAATCTGTCATATTAGGATTGCTCTTCCTTAGCAATAGGCAATGAATAAGGCCATACTGGTAACTCATTAATGACCTTGTTTCACTTTAAAGACCTCAGCAGTAGCCATTATAATGATTAAAAATGGCATTTTCTTTTGACACCAGAGAGGTGAAGGCAGATTTTCAGTTGTACTAAAACTCAGCTCCTTGTGGAGGGCAGCAAGAGCTTACCAGTTTCCCCAGTGTGTAGTGAACTTTCTGACTTTTACTTAAACAGTATCCTCAAATCCCTAGGCTTATGCCTACATTCTCTCCCTAAAAAAAAAAAAGTCTTAAGCAGAGGTTAACTGCAAAGATTTTTTTGCACAATTCTGTTGTCAATTCAAAAACCAAAATCAATCCTGCAACACAAAATACTTACATTTTCCAATCCAACCAGCTCCCACCTGCCAAGAAAAAAAAAAAAAAAATCACACAAATCACACTTCAGAACAAACTCTACATCATAAAAATTTCTGAACTACTGCTGGTTGTATTTAACAGTTTAGTTAAGCACTGGAATGTGAGCAACATAAAACTCCAAGAACAAGATAAAAGTTTCCATTCAATTTATAAGCTAGCAGTTTGATGACAGTATCTATAATGTACACTGTAACTAAGTAACTCACCCTTCCTGCAAGTTGCCTTCTGTATCTGAATTACTTAGAAAACAAACCTTTTTTTATATTTTAGTTGCTTTGGTACTTTTTCAAACTTAAAAGGGTACTGTAAGAATTTTAACAAACAGATCAGTAGTATTCTGAGCACAGATCAGAATCTGATTAGATTCCGACTGCCTGACATACTTCTTATATATAGCACAACAATGTAAGTGCTTCTTATGTGTATGCTGACCATGTGGTACCTTATATGATAATTCAGTTTCAGCAAAAATGTTAAGACTGGATAGGCTAAGGCAAATTACTGATTTCAGGAGAAGGGATAAATGGATGGAAAGAAAGGGAAAAAAAAAAAAAAAAGGTTACCTCAAACAGACTGCCATTCTCCATACAGCTCTCGTGGCAAAGCCAGACAACTAACGGAGCCACGTACTCTGGTTTGAAAGCATCAATCAGATCTAGAACAAATGGGAGAGGGGAATCATAAAATAGAACTACTGTATGCTTTCACCAAATCATTCTTATTCTAACACCTTCTGATGAACAGCAGAGCCAGGGAAAATTCAGTCAACAGTGTTCTGCCATGAGAAGAAAACACAAGTTAAAAAACAACAACAACAACAAAAAACCCACACACACAACCAAACAACATTTGAAGATTCATTAAATACAAATAACTGATGAGACACATGCATGCATTCAAGTCCCATGACATAGGTTCTCAGCCAGACAGAAAGATGACAGTCTAAATGTTGAGAAGCCTGTAGTATGCAGACTGCAAAGCCAGGTACCTTCCTAAATTTCCATCTGACAGGCAGCATGAAAAAAGCCAGCTAGACAAAATACTGAGAGAGAGATACCTAAGCAATCTCCCTTTTAATTTGCTAGTCATTTCTCAAGAAAAGACAATAGGAAAACAATTAGAGCTGCTGAGTATTTGAGAAATATCTCCTGTGGAAATGACAACATTTCCAAACGAGATATTGAGAATTATTAGCCATACTACATTTACGTATCAATTGTATTCAGGATTTTTAAATATAATCTAGCACTAGAGAACTAGGGCTGTTCAGTCTGGAGAAGAGAAGGCTCCGAGGTGACCTTATTGTGGCCTTCCAGTATCTTAGGGGGGCCTACAAGAAAGCTGGGGAGGGACTTTCTAGGCTATCGGGTAACGACAGGACTAGGGGGAATGGGGCAAAACTGGAAGTGGGCAGATTCAGGCTGGACGTGAGGAAGAAGTTCTTCCCCATGAGAGTGGTGAGACCCTGGAATGGGTTGCCCAGGGAGGTGGTTGAGGCCCCATCCCTGGGGTTCTTTAAGGCCAGGCTGGATGAGGCTCTGGGCAGCCTGATCTAGTGGGAGGTGTCCCTGCTCATGGCAGAGGGGTTGGAACTGGGTGATCCTTGGGGTCCCTTCCAACCCTGACAGATTCTGATCTGTTTTAGCAGAGGGCTTTAGAGCCCTATTGGCTCAATGGTTGGACTTGATGATCTTAAAGGTCTCTTCCAACATAAAGGATTCTATGATTCTAAAACTATCTAAAAATGGAGAAACTATCATGCAACAGAGTGTGGTTGTCCAGACAGATATCACCATATATGCTATTATTTGCCTGAAAAGAAAAAATTTACTTTGTTAAATTTGCTTTTTTGGCTTTCAGAATATTGTTCTTCCAACAGCAACAGCTATTCCTCAGCTAAAGGTCAGCAATCATTTTCAAATATTCCTTGACCAATGAAGAGCTAGGGAAGTTTAGCCTTAAAGGTACTTAATGTGACAAGGAGCCAAGTTGAAGTACCAGAAGTTCACTTTTAGCAGTTCCACAGAGGTAAAAGGAAGCTGAACTCCACTTAATATGGCACACTGTAAATGCATAACAAAAGCATTAGGCTTTTCTGAAGTATTCTGCTTTATGCCACACATTATTTAGTCTCAGAAATTAGCACTAGGTGATTATCGGTAATGATATAAACCAACTATCAAATGGATTAAGACATAGGTGGTAGAATTTTAAAAACCACACAGAATGTGCAAACTACATTTAGAGTTCTAACAAAAGCAACAATAAATGACCAAAGTGAACATACATAACTGTGGCAATGCTAAAGCACAGGTGCCTGTAAACATCTAAAGATGAACAGGAAAGTACTGACTAAGATAACAAGGATAACTTCACAAGACATAGGAAAATGCTTTTAAAAGTCTAGCACACAAAGCTTTTAATACTATTTGAAAAACTGGGCAGAGAGGGAGGCAGTGAGGTAAGACATAAATTGTCACAGCTGTAACTATCTTAAAAGGAGACTAAAGTATCTCACTCTTCCTAAAATGACTAAAAAAACATTATGAGGTGTTTCTGCCACTCTACATAAAAATTTTCAGGAAATTCCAGCTACTGAACTCCACACTTTACACTTCAGAAAGTCTCAGCTGCAAGCTTATTGTACTTGACTCTTGTGTAAGGAAGTGCAAGAAATCCCTGGAGCCAACAACCTATGGAGATGCCAGAAATAATGCATTCAATCCAGGTGTAAGTGTATAAACTGTATTACATCTCAATATCTTGCATATCAGTCTGAAAAATGTAATGATTCCCCTCCCTTTGAAATCTGCCTGTCACTAGGGTAAAGAAGGATAGGAGAACAACAGAGCAGGGTGATTCTAGAAGATTTTGTGAAAGGAACTTCCTTTTACAGGCTTTTTTTCCCCAAATTAATTTTTGTTTCTTCTGGTCATTTGCCAAAGTAATTAGTCACTCTATTTATCCTAAATTTACACTTTAAACACAGCTGTCTCCTATAAAGTTCTTTATCCTGACTTCCCAATGAAGACCTCGCTTAAAACCTGCTCACGCATTCAAAGACTAGCAACTGTAATAAAGAAAAAACAAACTATATTGGGCAACTCAGTTCAGTATCATCTCCTGCTGATCATGGAACAAAGAACACACATGACATGTTGTGCAAAACCCAGTATTTTGCAATTAGAGAAAACTATAACAAGGGCAAACACCTTATGCACATCCCCGATTCCACATCTGATGAAACGAACGAGCCATTGCACTACCACAGGCAGATCTTGGGAAAGACTATATAATTAAACAGCCTTGACACATGAAATTGCTTTTGGGAATTACAAAACTTGCTTCTTATCTTGTGACAGAAAATTAGAATTCCTTACAACAGATGAAGTAAGTTGACAGTTCAGAGTCAAGAAGACAGTAGGAAATTAGGAATCAGTAGGAATTAGTGTATGAAGTGTAAAGCATTTGCATTTGTGAAGAGGTAAGAACGCTGGCTGTGCTTCCATTCACAGAAAAAACACCAGTGTAGGCAGACACTAAATGATTCACCTTGTGGCATGACAGTCTGGGTCAGTCTGGATCCAGCAGTAGGAGCAATTGTGTTGCAGTGGATATTATACTTCCGGCCTTCAATTGCAATTGTGTTTGAAAGACCCAAAACACCAAGTTTTGCAGCACTGTAGTTTGCCTGACCAAAGTTTCCATATATCCCAGCAGCTGAGGAAGTCATAATTATTCTTAGTGGAGAGGAGAGAAAAGAAAAAAATAAAGTTCAATGATTTATTCAAATTGTTTAATTCTATACAACACCATTTTCTAGTTTGTCATTATATTCTCCACATTCCACAGAAGCGTGTAAATAAGAAACATTATTTGTTGGTTTTGCTAACAGATGCCTTGTCATGTTTTATTGATAGCAAACATTTGATTTACCCTGAAGCATTGCCACAGTATCAGAAAACTAACAAAGTCATGAACCTTCCTGATTTATACTGCACAAAAACAGACATTCTGTGACAACTGGATACGGTACACAGAAAAGTGTTTTCTTCCCCTGTTCTAACTGCACTTCAAGTAGCACTATTCTTGTACCTAACAAATGGTTTCAGTGGTCAGAAGAAAATTATTTTACTGAAAATGACTATACTTTAATATCCACCTGGTATTATGTGGAGACATCCTCTTACACCACTGAAATTCAAAGAATCCTAACGCACATAAAACGCGTGGAGGAAGAAGGCAGCAAAGTCTTGCCCCTTGCTGTCCCCTAACATCGCTCCTAAGAAAGCTCTGAACCCACTGCAGCTCACAGCAGACTTGAGGCCAGAAAGCACTGCGCTGCATGTCTTCTCACAAACTGGAGTTCAAAAGGGTCCACACTTTCACTTTTAAAATACACCTTCCCAGAACCTGTTTCAAAGTACTGTAAACACACTGCACAGCTGGGATCAAAATCTACTTCATTTTTATTACTGCCTCACCGACAACAATGCCATGTTTTTAATCTAAATAAAGAGATGTGTTACAAGCACTGGCTCAATATGAACAAGATGAGAAAAGCCACAAAAACCTATACAAAGCAGGTGTTTTGCAGATGGCACACACCTAAACATACATTCAGAAGCACTTAGTACCATTGATATCTGTGCAAACACAGAAAAGCAGCCAATGGAATTTTTTTTCCTAAATGGCTGCAGCTCCTAGACTTTAGCTGTGTATTCTGCTCGCTGATCTCTTCCCCCATCTTTACCATTCCATTCCCTGGATGAGAATGAACATCACTTTGGTCACAGAATGACAGCTTTCAACACATGGGTAAGGTTGTTAAGATTAATATAATCATGTCAGTGCTTTGATAAGGAAAACCAACAAAAGTGGAAAAAACTTAAAAGGACTAAATTCACTGCACTCTTTCAGTTAACTGTAACACATACCAAAATAGACTAGTAACGCTCCCACAACTTGTAATATAAGTACATTTGTCCAAAAGATAAAAAAAAACCACCACCAAAAGCCCAAACCCAAACAAAAATAACCCAAGACCTACAAACAGAACTGTATGTACCTGTCACTTGTAACAAACATTTCTAACCAGTCCTCATGAAAAGAAAAGGAATTTCTGTAACCCTACATCTCTTGTCTGGGATATTTGCATCTACACTGAAAAAAAACCTTAAACACTTGGCTGGGGAAGTAGAGCAGGGTGTAGAACTGAAAGCATAAGGTTTTTGTTCCATCCCATTTGGATTGGTTTTGTTCCATCCCAGCAACAGTGAAAGGAAAGGATACTAAATTCCTCCTTTGCTGTCAGGGAACGCATCAGTCTGTTACACACTACTGAAAAGGAGAAAAAAAAAACGGAGACAAATATTTACCTGCCAAATTTCTGATTTTTCATATGATTCCATGCAGCTCGGGTGACCAGGAATGATCCCCTTAAATGAATTCTGTGAATTATATCTAGGAACAAATGAATGTTGGTTTAATAATTCTAGATTTTGTCTCTTGACTTGAAATAAGGCATTTGTTTCTTCTTCGTGACAAAAACTGCACTCTGAAACACTGTCAAACTGTTACAAAAAATGTGGTGGGCTTTTTTTTTTTAAATCTTTTTTATTAATTATTTTGAAGGGCTTGCCTAAACATACACTGATTATCTCTTCTGCCTTGTTTGGGGCTCTCCTGTACCAAATTTAGAAGCATTCAAAATTCCTGCACTCAAGTACAGTCAAACAAGGACTACAGAAGCCTCTGAAGGCTCTCTAAAAAAGTCTGCTCAACTAGCTTATCACCACCTACTGAAAGTTCCCCCAGTCATTCTGTCCCTTGACACAGCAGTTTTCTTTGTTACTCGTCCTGGGTCTTTTAAGCCTGTTTAGTATTCAGCCAGTTAGTTCTGGCTCTAGGAATGTGTTCTGCTCAAAAAAAACCCCTATTGTTTGGCTTCACATAGCTCTTTTTTATATCCCACTCAGCAATGTGGAGTGGCAGCGAGAGCTCCTCTTCCTCTTTGGAACTCCACACACCTACCACGCACTGCAGCACGGACCTGGTGTGCAAGCTGAACATAAGCAGCTGACCACTAAAGTTTCAGGGCAAAGGGTAATCCTCTGACCTGGCACAGGCAGCCTCCTCCCCTGCCTCGTCGTCTTCCTTGTACCAGTGGGAGGGATGTACCTTTCACCTTTCACATAGAAAGCACATTTTAAAGTTTATCAACTCACCCCAATCTTCATCACTTATCCGAACGAATGAACGGTCTCTCAGGATCCTAAAATCCATTAATGGGAGAACAACATTTTAAAAAAAAAAAAATTTAAAAGAGCACAATCAAATAGGAAAAAAACTTCAAGTTTACTCACCCAGCATTGTTTATAACGATATCTGGGGAGGGAGCAGGGTTAGAAAAGAAAGAAAGAAAGAAAGAAAATTAAGTGAATGCATTGATAAAATAGAAGCTAGTTTCCATTTTTCTCCCACTTCTAAAAATATATAAAGAACACTGCACATATAGATCAGCTTACTACTCTATAGCTCCCTGTCCTGACCAGTGACACTCTACTATTGGACAATAATTAAGACAAGACAAAATACTTCAGCACAGACAAGTTTCAGCCTCCCAGTGGAGCAAAGCCTGACAGGGAAGATGTAGCTGAGAGTTGCTGGCTACCCAGGAACACAGCAGCTGCACAGTTTTGCAGCTTTCAGAGTGCTCCAAATTATGCAGTTTGTGCCACCATCTTTGTTGCAGTAAGCCCAAATGACAACTGGAAGAACCAGTCACAGAGCCACTAAAACAACCTGGATCATAACAATTTTTTGCCAAATATTTAATTTGGCACCTGTTGGATTTGATCACGTGTACTTTTAGCCATTTGACCCCGAGTTAAAATTACATAAACTTCACAATTACACAGTGGTAACCATATTGTACAGAGGAACATTACTTGTTAGGTAAAATATCTAAAGCTTTTTTTTTTTTTTTTTAATTTATGTTAAAGCATTTTCATCTCCACATAGGCAAAGGAGCTTCCAAAAGAAGACAGGGCATCACTGATTCTTCAGCAACATTATTTATAGTAATTTTATTCAGCTAGTTATAATACTTGATGAACTATGTGCTTTGAGACAGAAATTATTAACCATTCCTGAAGATCCAAAATTCTGAAGGAAAACAAGAATCACATATTGATATTTAAACTTCTGCTAAAAGATACCAAAAAGACAGAAAAAATTCTGCCCATTCAGATTTAAAGTGGAAAGCCCCTGAGTTAGGTTTCACTCACTAAGGGCATCAAGAGCTACTGATTTCTACTGTTCTCACACTGAACTTCATACACTTGTCAATTGCAGTTTATAATGGTTCTGCCCTGGCAAACAGGTTACAACAGCAATTAAACAGCTATACCTATCCTCCCAAAAGCCTCAAGTGCTGTCTTCACAAGTTTTTCACCATCTTCTACTGAATCTGTAGAGAAAAAAATATCTATTTCAGTAAAATGAACCAGATAAGACTGCAGTTCCAGGATATTAACAACTAATTTACAGAATCATAGAATGTACTGGGGTGGAAGGGACCCCTAAAGGTCACCTATTTAGTCATTTAATTCCATGAAGCTAATAAAAATAAATTACGTCCAACCCCAACATAAAATAAATACAAATTTGGCCACTATTTTTATGTGGCCTAGAGCAAATCCCACACAGTAAATCTAAATGGCACAATGTTTGCCATTCCAAGAAAAACTAGAAGCAAAACAAGTAAGAATCATCCATTTTCATTTTGCCTCTGACAACTGCTGATGGACAGCTTCTTAGTACGTCCATGTTAAGAAAGTCTATGAAAGAAAAAGGCATTACTAGATGAGTACTAATCAAAAAAACTATTTATACACCTGTTTTTAGCACCTGTCTCCTCCACAGTACATTACACCTATTTAATTTGTATGGTATTGGCAAGCTGGCAGTAATCCTTAATAAAGCAGTACCAACTTTTGACAGCTCTAGTACTGCTATAAAGCCTTACACTAGTCTGGAAAAGTAACATACCGTAATTGGGCACTGCCTTCCCTCCTTTCGCTCTGATTTCGTTGACAACTTTGTCCGCAGCTGAGGAGCTCTTACCATATCCCTTGAAATCACCTCCAAGATCATTCACTGTGGATGAGAAAGAAATTAATTTTTCATTGTTAACACTTAAGACTTCACAGTTTCCCCTTATGCTGGAAATTATAAGGAGTACTAATAAAACTTGCTGCATGGATCCTACTGAGACTCTCAGATGATTAGAGAACAGCAAGTCACATAGCTGTTGTGGGGATTTTTTAATTAGTATAACACAGAGTATCATTTTTGAAAACATAACATCAGAAACAGAACTTTTTTTTTTGCTTTCTCTCCACCATGTATTCAATTTGCTTTCACTGCCCAGGTGAATTCTCCAATTGTGCTATTGTACTTCAGAGGTTAAGATCAAGATAACACACCAGTCATAGGTCATTAACTCTGGTCCCTTGTCAAGCTGTTAGTTACTGTATGAAACCTAAACAAGACCGAGAAGACTTTGTTCCTGTTTAATAAAGTAGCTGAAATGTAAACTTCACCACAGAACAGGTCAAACGTTCTGGACCACAGGAGAAGAGCCTGCTCTGGAACTTCCAATTGTGCTCCTGTGAGTTAAGAAGGATACCTGACAGAGAGCTGCTTTTTTTCCAAACTGGTCTCTGCACTGAGGTGTATATCATTCATGGTATCATCACCACAGTTTGCTGTGCTGCAGTGCACGGCCCACAGTGTTGCAGAATTCATCAGGGGAACAGAAACATCACCCCCAAAAAATCCATACACACGTTTTATTTGGACAAAGAATTTTTAAAAATGGTAACAAGTATGTATAAATGGGTGCAAAATGGAGTTCTAAAAAATACAGATTTGACTGTTGATTTACATGTAACAATGGTATTTTGCCAGATAGTGTTTTGCTGTGGTGAACTCCAGCTTTGTGCCTCCTAACCTCTTAAAAGTCCTCAAGAAGCCAGTCGTAGTGAAATCCACAAAAATATGCAAGACATTCTTGCTGGTCTTGAAAAGGAAATAATTCCATATTCTGTCCTCCCCTCCGTTTTTTTACACTCTCCATGTAGAGATAAACAGAGCTTGCAGGACACACGACAAAATAAATTTTTATTGCTCAGATTAAGCAACTCTCATCTGGAATCTTGTATCCAACTTGTGTGCAGTACTTTGAGGGAAATGTAGAAACACTGCAGAAAATCCATCTAAGTAAATGAAAATGCCAAAGCCCAGAAATAGGCCACATAAAGAATAAAGGGGAGGGGGTGGAAAGCCACCACAATCAAACCAAAACAGAACAAAGAACCACCTAGCCTGAAGCAGAACGAATCAAGACAGAACGCTCAAGTACATTAACAGTCTGATGCAAAAAAAAAGAAAGAAGAGAAACTTTCCAAGCCAAATAGGTCAATATGTAACAGTCTGAGCATGCAGCTAGCACAATTCAGGTGAGGCGTTAGGGAAAACTTCCAAGTGTAGTGAAGCATTAGAAAAGGCAGCATGGGCAAACTGCTTAGTCTGCAACATCAAAGGTCTTCCACATGACACTAAAGAAAGGCAAGTCAGGAACAGCACTGGGATTTGCAACCTGGAAATCCTGGGAAAGAAGAGTGGACAACTTTGTTGTAAACAGTTATACAAAAACATGCAGTTACTCTCATGAAGATGTCACAACTCTTTACCAAGGACATGCTTATATATGTTTATAATTCACTTTAATACTAATTTGCCAACAAAAGCCTTATGAAATATTTGGGAAGATTTACACAGGTAGCAAAGCACATTAGGCTGAGTACAGGCACTTACAGAGTTGAAGGAAAAAATGAGTACAGAAGAAAGAACAGAGCTATTCAAAGCTTTGAAAATTATAAAATAACTCCATGAGTATGATAAATTTAAAAAATATAATTTTAAGCTCAAGCTTTACATCATATAATTTGCAGTTGAAAATAACCCTTAGCAAAGAGTCAGAGACTGTGACAGTTGTGACAGAGCATGGTTAGAGTCTGAAATGTAGAGAATTCCTCTAACCCTATCAGTGTTTTACCAGCAAGTAGAAGCAAATCTGTAGAGCCAAACAGTTGGTGATGAGGATCTGACATCTACAGTACATGTTTTTTTAAAAATAAACCAGCACATTTTTTGTTGTAGTCTGGTGCCACAAACCAAACAACATAGCTGAAATAACCTAGATGCACTGCTCAATTGCACCTTCCAGTTTGATTTTCAAATGAACTCCACTTGTGCACCTCAATACCATCCCACAATGCAAGCAAAAATACAAATAGACACCAATCATGAGAGATGCTTCAAAACCAGGACTCTGAGCTAAAACAGATATACAAGAAGAGCCCTCAGGTACAGGGCCAGTAGGGTCTGGACACAACATAAGTTGCAAGATAAAAAAGCATTCCCTTGCTTCTGCTTTCAGCTTTTTTCTGATGAGAAGAGATGAAGCATGACACAAAAGGTGGTGGTAAGAAAGGGGACATTTCTACTTGGGACACACTGGTGAGCCTAACCACACCAAAAGCAACTCACTGAATAGAAGGCTGTACACACAGGGAGACCTGGGACTGGACAGAAAAAGCTGCCCTGCTGGGACCCACTGATATTCTTCCAGAGTACTGGATCCCTGTTCTTACAACATACCTTCATTTTTGTAACTTAAAAAATTGAATTTCTTTTAAAGAGACAGAAGCCTCATATCTGCTTTAGTCAAAAAAATTAAAATCTTTACACAAGTAGCTTCTCAACTCTTTGAAGCCATTACCATATGCAAATAAGAGTAAGAAAAATAAGTACAAGCATGATGAGGTAACTGTAAAGCAGTACTGTAAGAAGAGGTGAACTGAGATGCAGTTTCCAAAGGGAAACAGTAAATTTCCCTTACTGATTCAGCTATTGTGCAATAAAGCCATGAGATTAAGGACTATTAGCTGCCCTGGGGTAATGTAACACATTTTCTACCAGATGCTTCTGGAAAGTCAGAACACCACTAACTACAGAGCATCAATACAGTTCAACATTTGGTCTACTTCAGTGACCTCACTCCTGTTAAATGAGAACCTGAGATAAAGTATTCTTGTTCCTAGTAAATAAGGGAAATATCAAGTAAATAAGGAAAGTATCAAAGGTTGCAACTAGCAGAACAAAATAGCCAGACTTTGTCTAAGTTGTCTAGACACAAGACTTTCCGTATTTAATCAGTAAAGCCATAGAATTTTATGAAATTTTGTAAACTGAGATTGGTATTTTTATTAGAAAGCTACTAAAAATCAGTGAGCAAGTTCTCGTCCATAATTTGCGTAAACATTTAACCTTGAACTCATCAACAATACCTGTATACATTCATTCACAGGTAGTCAAATGGCAATGCCAACTGCTCGAGAATGACCAAGAAAATAATATAACCTTTAGAATTAGCTTGTGACACAGCATTTTGCACAACTAAATATTCCTTGAAGAAGGTTCAACCAAACAACTACCTAACTATCAGAAATACTCTTCTGAGTGTTATGGGGCACTGTTGTTGAGATCAGATGGCCCTCTGTGTGATGTGCTGCAGAAAGTATTAGACAATAACATACTTATATCTTCAAACAGTCGTATTAAAAAGTTTCTGAACAGTATTCACATAAAACAGCAACTTCTCTGACCACAACTCAGGGTAAAGACACGTATGCACACATGAAAGTCAAGTCCAAGAAATTATGTAATTCAAATTGGCTCTCCAATAAACATAAGCCCTTAGATATTCTTGGGCAACTTGTTTCATAAGAAATAAAGCTTGGGAGCAAAATTTAAATAGCAAAAGATAAAACAGAAAACCATTAAATAACAAAGGTTACTGTCTAAAAGGGCATGGACTGTCGAATTGGAGCAATGTGAAAAGGCAAAGATTACTATATCGAGTTACTTAACATAAAACTTACCAACAACTGAAGCTCCTCTTTCAGCAAAAGCCAGAGCATATGCTCTGCCCAAACCTAGTTTAAAAAAAAGAAAGAAAAAGAAAGCAGTAACAAAGTCTGTCAATTTGTCTATTGGATCACAATTCAGAGAAAAAGCTACACAAAAATGAACTGCATGAAGAAAAATGCATAAAATCAACACAAACACCCTGAAGGTTCAAAATAAAACACTGTTTCCTACAGGATTAAAAGATTCACATAATTTCAAAACATAAAAGTAAACAAACTACGGACAAAATCTTCAGGCAAGAAACAAACAAAAAAATTCCCCATGCTTACCCCTTGGTATTACACTCAACAGAGCCATCAGGTAAAGCTGCCTACTGCTTAGTTTGTGGATGCAATAGAAAAATACATATGTAAGGCAGAAAGTTTAATGTTTTGAGGAAGGAGGAAATATTTCAAGTTAATTAATTACATGCTAAGTGAAGAAGATGCTTCCCTGGTTCAAGTTAGTCTTTGAGATCTGAGAAAAAAAACTGAATAAAATTTAACTGTGAATGAAGGTGTACTGACAACCTATCAGAACAGAAGACTGCTATTTTTGCCTCACAAAAGCCATACTCTTGCACTTTGGCTCAAATCCTTGGTGTGTTACATATCATTAGTTACTTGTTGTGATAAACTATTTTACGGACATATTACACTACCCACTGTACCAGTTAAGAGTTATTGAAATCAATTACAATGATCCTTTTTTTCATTCAAAAGAAACTGAGATTTGGATGACAAAAAGATGGTCAGAAAAGTTTCTTAGAGTTCAACAGTAAAAAAACTCTCACCAAAAGATTCAAAGCTAGCTCTCCAAAGGAAAAAAAATGGGGAAAAACAAAAAAAATCAGATCTGTTTTGAAACGCATCAACAAATCTGAATCTTCCTTAAGACTCCTATGAGTCTCTGCAATGGGGAATATCACATGCGAGCTGCACGTATGCCCATCGTCTGATGTAACCCAAGTCCAAGAAAACTTCTTTGTTGTTTTGAAAAAGCCACACAACTTAGAAGTGCACAAAACCCAGACATATTATACCACGTGCTGGTATTCTCAACTTGCATGCAAGGATCAAAAGCTTAAAAAAAATGATCTTGAATTGCATAAAAAGTCGCAATGCCGTGTGACAGGCAGGGATGCTCGCAGTGAGG